CAGACTGCACCATGGCAAATAGAGTGTCACACACACTTCATCACCCAGGAAGGACACCCGGAATATCAGGAATCCTCTGTGCCCTCTGATTAATCACTAGAGGGTGTCTGATTACACCCACAAGAGGGAAAGATCATTTGAGACAATAAGGAAGAGCATTCAAGAACACCACATCTTCCGCTCTAATCTAACATCCTAAACCAGTGACGAGAATTTGCAGCATTGTGAACTAATTTCGTTACTCGACAGTAGCACCCTCCTGCACGGTGCGACATCCGGCTACCTCCCAGAATAGACCCCAAAGGGAGATTCCCATTCTTTCCCTGAGTGGCAGCAGGAGGGGATCAGTTCCCAGGTCAGAAACCCAGAACCCATGCAGGTTTGTTATGTGATAAATTTGTCCACTGGAACATGACCCGGCTGCAGCCTCCGTGGGGGTGATGTGAAGTACCCTCATAGGACATAGGTGACAGAGGGAGGCCTCACGACATCAGGGCCCCTGAGGAGCAGGGCCCTTTGTGAAAACAAGGATGCAGGAGCTGCCTCAGGAGGAGGAAGGAGTCCAGATGAATGATCTAGCCCTGAGTGCCAATTCTGCCTCCAGCTCTCCACCACCCAAAACCCAGGGAGGCTTACTGCCGGGGGGGGCTCCCAGAGGAGACACATCCCAGAGAAGAAAGCCCACCACCTCCCACACATCAGCAAGCTCCTTCTCCCAGTTGAGAGGCTCTGGGAAGTTCTTTTAGAGACTAATCACCCCCATGAACAGAACTCCCCAGAGCAGCTCCCCTTCCCTGGAGACCACTGACTGAGTGGTAGAGAGCCCTGGCTAGGAACCAAAAATAAATGCACTCACTCTCAGCCGCCATGAGCTGCCCAGACTGGCTCCTCCTTTTTTCTTCTCTTTAGTAACAGTGACCCCCACCTGAACTCAAGTGTGCCCCCACCATCTGTGAGCCAGCAGTGACAACCAAGAACAGGCTCAGGGCCTGCCCTGAAGAAGGATTTACAGTAACAGCACATTAAGCACTGTTTTTGTTTGTTTGTTTTGTTTTTCTAATTTTGCCACAGCATGTATGCACTGACCAGAGAGAAACAGTGAGGGAAAGTGAGAAATCACCTCCCAGAGGGATGACCATGCTGCAATCCCTTCTCCTCCATTTTCCTCCCAGGATTTTGAGCACATACACCCAGCATGTTTTTCAAACCACCAGGTCTGGGACTTGAACCACGGAGTGAGTCATGTAGGATCCAGAGCCTTTTCAAATACGGTTACCAGATCTCACTAGTTTTTTTTTGTTTGTTTTGCTTTATTTTTTTTTTTTTAATTTCCCAGAGGGTATTTGTGCTCACTGGAAAGAGAGAATGAGTACAAGGGAGAGAGAAACAGCACCGGGGGGAATGGTCACGCTGCAATTCCTTCTCCTCCATCTCTCTCTCCTTTTGGAATTAGCATGTTTCTCAACACCAGGTCCAGGACTCAGGAGCTCACAGTCACCGCGTGGGACCCAGCCACTTGAACCACCATGTCACCAGCTGGCTCCACAGATCTCACTGTGGTAACAAGCAAAAGTTCAATTCAATTGGTCCAAGTGTCCTTTCCTCACTTAAGTCCCTGGAGGAGATAAGAAGAGCTTGGTACAAACCGAGGCACACAGAGGCTCGAGG